GCTGACGATTCGGGAGGTGGCTGCGGGTTGACGAAAGGGAAAAGCGCATCGCCGATGTCTGCCACAGATCTGGCACTGGTGATAATGACTCATGTGTATTCTCCAAAATTGGTTCAATGCTATTTTTTTTAATAGTTTTTTTTTTTGGGGGGGTTTTGGGATTATGAATGAGGGGAAAGTTGTTATGGCTTTGTTTGAATCTCTCTTGAATAATCATTTCTTTAATCTTGACTGTACATACGTAAATAGTTGCGAGCGCGGTAACCTTCAAAGGAAAAATAAACGAACACACAAAAACTTAAATAGACACGTTTTAGCAACGAAGGAGTTGAAGTAATCTTCACACAAATGGGTTGTAAAACAAAGGGATACCGATTCCCCACCCTGCAAGTTATATTTTTTGTACAATCTGCCCAGATACCAGTGACGTACGGAGGCAAACTGACGATCCTCGAAGAACCACCATCACGACAAAGATCTTGTACGCGCAAAATGGACATTGCTAGCCGTCAGAACACAAGACTTAAAGACAGCCGATTAAGAATTACTTTACGCCCTCTTCTGGTAATAGAAGTCCCTTTGAATTGTACAAAGTATAATTGTGATGGTTTACTGCTGTTGCACCCTCACCCCCCCCCCCCCCCCCCCCCCCCCCCACACACACACACCTGACTGCATCTGTGGTGTCGTGGTTAAGCATTCGCCATTGCACGCAAAAGACGTGAGCTCGATTCTCGTGTGTATGTGTGTGTGTGTGTGTGGGGGGGGGGGGGTATAGAGTCTCTCCGTTTGTCTGCTGAGATGTTACATCCTCTTCTACCCGGGTCGACCCTGGCGGACAGGATACAAACAGCCCCCTCCTAAATGATCTAATTTGTTTCGATGACGGCGCAAAACACTAAACAATTAATTCATTCTCCTCTTCCCCTTGTCTGTGTTTGCATTTCCCCAGGTGGCGCAGATCCGAACAGTTCAGATGCAAGTGGAAACACACCTCTTTATGTGACGGTCCAAGGTGGCCACAGTGACGTGGCGAGGACGCTGTGTCTGTCAGGTGCCCGGGTGAACTGTAGGGGTGCTGGGTGGACCTCAGCGCTGCATGTGGCAGCTAAAGCGGGACACGACGACTGCTTAGACGTAATTGTCGTGTTTTTTGTTGGGTTTTGTTTTTGGCCCACTGTCCGTATTTGTTGCCGGATAGTTGTAAGTTGCGCAGAAAAAGTGTCAGTGTGGCAGTAAATTGTTATATCCCCCCCCCCCCCAAATCTCCTCCACCACCCAGCCCCGAACAAAAAAAAAAGAAGAAGAAGAAAGGAAACCAGGTAGTTGTGATTGATGATGGTGATGATAAAGAAAAAATTGCTGAGAACGATGTGCAGAATTTATTTCAATGTTTGATCATTTCTTCACTCTGAGTCTACACTAGCTTCCCTCAAGAAACTGATCTGGATATTACTATTCGTTATAGTACTCCAGAATATGAGTCATAGAAAGGGGGATGAAAACATTGGCCACTCCTTCATTGTATTATCAATGCTGTTTGTTTTTGTTTGTTGTTTTTTCACTGATATGTATCTTTGTTATTTATGAATTGCTTTTTAGTGGACATCTATCTTTTTACAGCTCTAACTGCTGCTTTAAATCTACTGCTTTAAAGCAAAAATTCGAGCTCATTCAGATTTTATTGCATTCCAGATTATGTGATTTTTATTTAATTTTTTTTTTAAAAATTTTTTGGGGGGTAGGGGTGTTTTAGCAAAAGTTTTACGGCACTTGCAGCACAATTGGGTCATATTATAAGTGCCGAAGATTAGAGGTGTTACAAATAAGAGAGCAACAAAGACAAAAAGAAGGAGAGATACGGCCGATAGAAATGTAATATGGAAAAAAGGAGCAAACCACACCAGAGCACCCGCCAACCACCCACACGTTATGTGAGAAGGACGTGGGAAAATTTATAGGTCCTACCCTGCTATCTTTGAATTGCAACAATTATTGACACTTCTATTAGCAATCCTGTTAATTTGCTAACAGAGAGATAGCTGTATACATTCTACTTAAGGAAAAGGGTGACCTTATTTAGGCCATATATGTAGTCAAAATAACCAAACCAATGTAAAGCATTGTTTTCTTTACAAGTTACATTATTATTTCTTTAA